CCCCTTTGTGGGTATCGAGCCTCATATTGGTATGTCCTGGAATCAGAACTTTACCATTAACATAATCATACGAAGAGGTGTATACTGACATATGACCTATGGCAAAATCCTAGCTGACCTAAAGACATTTGTGACACACGTGCACTGCTGATGGTCTGTAGGAAATATATGTTTCACCGTCTAACCAATAGGCACTAAGGAGATATTGCAACAGTCATATAATTATTCATTCGGAATTCAACTCTTTATTTATGGCAGAAGCAGAGCCCAAAGCTTCTTGAAGTAGTACTCGTTGTTGTTCCTCGGAGGGAAAATACATTTCAGACTATTGCCAACACAGACATTAGATAAGAGTAAATATTTGTTCACATTATTTTCAGGAAATTTAAATGGTGTTTATCCTGCATCTCAACTGACTGTTTTGTGTTCGTTTTTCCTAAAATGTTATATACAGTCGAACCTCGTTATCTCGAACTCTTCTAACTCGAACACCCCGTTTATCTCAAAGTATTTCTCCGGTCCCGGCCAAGTCTCTTCTTTATCTTAGTAAATAAAACTCTGATAATTCGAACCCTAAAAAGTCGAAAAACTTTGATACCTTGAAGTAAAGTATTGGTTTCAATAGCGTAAATCCAACATCAAACCATCGTCTACTTCTTAGTGTTCGAATTTCATTTTGTCACTTATTAGTTTTTGATATAAAACGCACCAGTACGACATCTCGCCATTCCGTGTTTGTGAACATCTTTCGCGAGTAGACTAAGTCGGTAAAAATAATTTATGATTAAGCTTCAGACTGTAAAATGTGCGGACTGTCAAAACCATGTTGTTTATAATAAAAAAAACTTCATTAATGTTGATCAACAGTATTCTCTACTTACTGCGAGTCCGTTTAATGATTTGTACACCCAAACAGACAGTGCAAACCGGAAAATTGGTCAAAAAGCGTGTTCATGCATAAAAGAGGTCCACAGTTAAAATCACAACCTAAGACAGCTTCACAGGTTCATGTTTTTATAGGAGCCAGTATGGCTTTGAAAGTCGATCGGGAGATTTAAGAACAATACGATAATTGCTGTTGATTACATCAAGTTGAGGAGGTTTCAGGTGTCACATTTAGCTTAATGAATTAATGTGTTACATGTATAATATAATATGTTTTGATGTGTTTTCATTTACAGAATCAACTATGCATACGCTCCATTACAGAGATTTGTTTTAGACTTGCACACTTTCATTTCCGCTTTGTATAGTACGAGGACGAAGACGGCGGGATAGTTCGATTTTTAAATGTAACACTTCAAAAGTAAAACTTGACGGGCTTGCAAATACACATGCAGACCTGGAAAGACTTTGCCAAGTTCTAGACTAGCCAAAAACAACATTTAATCACAAGGCCCGTCCATACTTAATAACGAATTCAAAATATGGTTCAACCGTTTTGATCGCGTTAAACGAAAGTATGTTTTTCGGAAATAACTTACTCTGCAGTATTTTTTTGAGTGGATTTATTGTAAAATTGCATACCTGTATTTGTTATATTGATTACGTATATTATTCATCGATTGATTACAAGCATTGGTTATTAATAAAATCAACAACTGTTAGTGCTATGTCCAACAGCATTTCATACCAAATTTATGAACCCGCATAACTCAAACACTCGGATAACTCGAAGTTTTCCCACGATCACATCGACTGCGAAATAACGAGGTTCGACTGTATATAACTATGGAAATATTGCAACATCAAGAAAGCATGTGTCTGGAGTACTTTCAGTACTTAGATTTTGTTTAGGGATATTTTGAAGCAGTCAGAAGAGGTAATGGAGGTTATATCTGGAGGCAGGTTATGCCAGTCTACTATGGTACGAGGGAAAAGGATTGTTGTCGTACCTGTGTTCTACATGAGAGTGTTTGATAAGAGTTCTTGTGTGTGTGTCTTGTGTGGTGGGATGGAGGTATGAGTTGGTCTTTTCTTATATTGACTTTGTCATGTATTGTTTTATGTAGTGTTGTCAGTCGCATGACTCTCCTTCTGTCTTCAAGTGATTGCCAGTTAAGGTGTTGAAGAATATCACCAACACGTGAGGTGTTTCTAAATTTGTTGGTGACTAATCTGGCTGCTCTACGCTGCACCATTTCTATTTTGCTTATGTCTGTTTTAGTATAAGGGTCCCAAACTGAGCAGCCATAGTCTAGGGATGGTCTGACAAGTGTTTTATATGCCTGCTCCTTGACAGATGTAGAGTTTATCTTTAGATTTCGTCTGATAAAGCCTAAGGTGGAGTTGGCTTTCCCACAGATGTTATTTATATGACATTCCCACTTGAGATTTGACTGTATAGTGACACCTAAATATTTTGCTTTCTCTACGTGTTGTAATTCCTTTTCGTGCAGCATGTATTTGTGATGTTGTGGGTGTTTGTTGTTGGTGATGGAAAGGATGTTACATTTGTCAGGATGGAAGGACATTTCCCATGCTATCTCCCATAGAGCTAGTTTGTCTAAATCTTGTTGTAATAGCTGGGCATCAGATGGTAATTTGATAGTATGATAGACAATGATGTCATCTGCAAATAGACGTACAGTGTAGTGAAGGCCAACAGGAATATCGTTTATATAGAATAGAAAGAGGGATGGACCAATAACCGAGCCTTGAGGGACACCTGACTTGACATCGACAATGCTAGATTTCCCCCCTTTAACGATGACAGCCTGCTTCCTGTTATCCAGGAAGTTTTCTATCCAGGTGTTAACCTTCTCATTTACACCATAATGACAAAGCTTATGACAAAGAAACGAATGACTAACCTTGTCAAAAGCATCAAGACGTCGGTTTGTTTTCCCTTGTCAATGTTGGAGCTGACATCATCAACAAATTCAATGAGCTGACTCTCACATGATACTGACCTTCGAAAACCGTGTTGGAGTGGGTAAAGGATGTTATGTTTGTCAGCGTGGTTCATGATGTTACTGCACCACTATGTGTTCTAGAAGTATACATGTGAGAGAGATTGGCCTGTTATTTTCTGGATTGAATTTAGAGCCCTTTTTATAGACAGGAGAGACATGTGCTAACCTCCAATCAGAGGGAACTGTGCCAGAATGAAGAGATTCATTAAAGATGATGGAGAGGACAGGGGCAATTTCAGAAGAGAGTTCTTTCAAGATCTTGGGCTTCCAACTCGTCCGGTCCAGCTGCTTTACTAGGGTTTAAATTTTGTAGTGATTTTTGTACACCATTTGGAGTGATATCAAATTCTGGCATAATGGGGTACTGGGTGGAAGATGGGATATCACATTTTTTAAGGAATTCATCAGAGGATAATTTAGCACCTGAGCTAAAAACAGACTGGAATTGAGTGTTAAGGGTCTCAGCCTTACCTAAAGGGTCAGTGACAAGTTTACCATGTGATTTTAGAGATGATGTACCGTTATGGTAGGTCTTCTTATGCTTTATGTATGACCAGAATCTTTTGGATGCACTAAAATTACTGTCATTTTGTGAGGTAAGAATGCCTTCAACATATTGCCAATAGGACCTTCCGAGTTTCTTTTGATTGTCTTGTCTTAGAGCCTTGTATTTAGTCCTTATGTTCAGATCACCAGATTTTTTTACCTTTTTATAGAGTCGATCTCTTTTTCTGAGAAGGTGTTTAATGTCAGGAGTAACCCAAGGTAGACTAGGTTTGGGTTTGATGGTTTTATGAGGTATGTTGTCCTTTATGAGATCACAGAGGGTTGATTTGAAGAGTTTCCATGTATGATTTACATCCCTATTTGTAGATTCAACAATGCTGGTGTGAAGGTAGACAGACCATTTCTGATTGTTTGTAGATAGGAATGTTTCGTGTAATAGTTTTAGCCTTTTGTAGACTTAAATTAAGCTCAACAAAGACACAGTCGTGGTCTGATATACCAGGCATGACCTGAGATCTAAAAACCTGGTTTGGTATGCTTGTAATTACCAGGTCGAGGGTTATCTTTCCTTGTAGCTTGCTCTACGATTTGTGTTAGACCCATATATATATCGTCCAATAAGTTATCAAAGTGTAATTTTGGATGATTTGTTTTGGGTTTAAGGATTTTGTTTTTCCAGTCCCAGCCTGGATAGTTGAAGTCCCCACCTAGTCTTTCTGAGTGATGTTTCTAAACCCTTTAGACTATTCTCATCTAATGTTTTGGGATTATAAAAGGAAGCTAGGTATAGTGTTTCATTCCGAAAATTTGTACTTTAGCCCATACTAATTCAGTTGGGTCCTCTATACTGGTGAGGTCTGTTACTTCATTGCAGACAAAATCAGATCTTATTGCGACGAGTACCCCACCCCCTTTCTTATCCACATTTGACATTCGATCTTTCCAAAACACTTTAAAGTTATCTGGTATAAATTCTGAGTCTTTTATTGATGGATCAATATAAATCGTTGCTTGCCCCTGTGGTCAGACCGGTGATGATAGTCACACTGATAATGTTATTTACAATGCATGATTATGATCTTCGTCCTCGGTGTGACCCCGAGGCACAGAATGAAAAACACACAAATGGAGCAAATGTTAGTAAATGAATACACACAAGTGCAGGGCTCGTCTGGAAAAGTAGGGGACCAGTTTGTTTACACCCGAAGTGGCATATCAAAATCTCACGAGAATCAGGTGACGTATGGCGAGAGATATACAGTACTGTGAATGCTGCCAATTAACGTTATATAATATATCACAGGGTAATTTTACACAGTGAATGTATGATGTAGATTATGACGTAAAAATGATAAGGAGTTTGAAGAAAGTAACTCAAATATACGTGAATAGTGAAATTTCAGGTTGTGCAGAGAAAGACGTCTTTCTCCTGGCGCATGCGCACCACTTAACCCCCGCAGGATCTGTGGGGTAAGTTTAAAATGTATTCTTTTATATTTAGAGATATTTTGTGTATTAATAGTATAATATACCATAGTATCTGGTAAATACCATAATTATGTTTTTATGTAACTACAGTTAACGGGGAAGATGGAGGAGCCAGATGACTTTGATAACCACTAGGGTTTCCAGGATCACAGTACTATGTTCATGTAAAGCAAGCAAGTCAACCCAGTAGGTTAAAATCAGAGATGGGTGCAACAGCGATAAAATCAGGGATGGATGCAACAGAGGTTGGGGATTCAGATGATTCCATACCAGAAGTATTGCCAAGGTACAATAAAACTTCAAAGCAAGGAAGACAACTCGAAAAGATACAATCAGGGACAGGTGTGCTCTATATCCTGGTAGTGGCGATATTTGTGGAGTTCCTCAATGTGATTACTAAAAATGACTCCAAGGAGGAAGAAATTGAAGAAAAGGTTTGTTGTGGTTCAAACTCAATTGAAATAGAATTACCAATTAAATTTGATTTGAAATCTTCTTCAAAATTACATTCATTGATGAATGACACTATTGCAAGAATGTCAATATATAAAGGTTTAAAAAACTTAAGTTCTGAGATGCAGATTTATCCTGAAATTTCATTGGACATGTACCCTGTGTATGGTCCTGGTGTTGGACCAGCTATTGACCTGTTGCTATCTACCACTCCACCACCAACTCGCCAGGAACTAATGGCTAATGAGTCCTTAAGACTGTGTACCTTCCATAACTACCCAGCCTTTAGGATAGTCAGCTGTCTGTTGTTGGCCAAGGCAGGATTCTTTTATACTGGTCACAATGATGAGGTCATATGTTACTCTTGTGATAAAAGTGTCGCAGGATGGAACCTTGGCTCAGACCCGTACAAGGTTCACAAAGAGAACTCCCCTGACTGTAACCATCTTCGTGCTATGGATACCTATAATATGTCTGTGGCTGCATCAGCACCCGAGAATAGCACAACAGGTGAGTAAACATCAGTGAGTAATATGATCCGTGAGTCAACGTCAAAGAGTGGTGTTACAAGTAAGTCAACATTAATAAGTAGTGTTACAAGTGAGTCAACATCAATGAGTAGTATTACAAGTGAGACAACATCAATGAGTAGTGTGACAAGTGAGCCAACATTAATAAGTGTTACAAGTGAGTCAACATCAATGAGTAGTGTGACAAGTCAGTCAACATTAATAAGAAGTGTTACAAGTGAGTCAACATCAATGAGTAGTGTGACAAGTGAGTCAACATTAATGAGTAGTATTACAAGTGAGTCACCATCAATGAGTAGTGTTACAAGTTAGTCAACATCAATGAGTATTGTGATAGGTAAGGCAATATCAATGAGTATTTTGACAAGTAAGTCAACATCAATGAGTAGTGTGACAGGTGAGTCAACATCAATGAGTAATGTTATAAGTGAGTCAACATCAATGAGTAGTGTGGAAAGTGAGTCAACATCAATGAGTATTGTGACAAGTGAGTCAACATCAATGAGTAGTGTTACAAGTGAGTCAACATTGATAAGTAGTGTGGCAAGTGAGTCAACATTAATGAGTAATGTTACAAGTCAGTCAACATCAATGAATAGTGTTACAAGTCAGTCAACATCAATGAATAGTGTTACAAGAGAGTCAACATCATTGAGTAGTGTTACTAGTGAGTCAACATTGATAAGTAGTGTTACAAGTGAGTCACCATCAATGAGAATTGTGATAAGTCAGTCAACATCAATGAATAGTGTTAAAAGAGAGTCAACATCATTGAGTAGTGTTACTAGTGAGTCAACATCAATGAGTAGTGTAACAAGTCAGCCAACATCAATGAGTAGTGTTACAAGTCAGTTAACATCAATGAGTAGTGTTACAAGTGAGTCAACATCACTGAGAATTGTGATAAGTCAGTCAACATCAATGAATAGTGTTACATGTCAGTCAACATCAATGAGTAGTGTGGCAAGTGAGTCAACATTGATAAGTAGTGTGACGAGTGAGTCAACATTAATGAGTAGTGTTACAAGTCAGTCAACATCATTGAGTAGTGTTACAAGTCGGTTAACATCAATGAGAAGTGTTACAAGTGAGTCAACATTAATGAGAATTGTGATAAGTCAGTCAACATCAATGAATAGTGTTAAAAGAGAGTCAACATCATTGAGTAGTGTTACTAGTGAGTCAACATCAATGAGTAGTGTTAAAAGTGAGTCAACATTGATAAGTAGTGTGACGAGTGAGTCAACATTAATGAGTAGTGTTACAAGGCAGTCAACATCAATGAGAATTGTGATAAGTCAGTCAACGTCAATGAATAGTGTTACAAGTCAGTCAACATCAATGAATAGTGTTAAAAGAGAGTCAACATCATTGAGTAGTGTTACTAGTGAGTCAACATTGATAAGTAGTGTTACGAGTGAGTCAACATTAATGAGTAGTGTTACAAGTGAGTCGACATTAATGAGCAGTATTATAATATATATATAAGTGAGTCAACATCAATAAGTAATGTTACAGGTAAGTCAACATCAATGAGTAGCGCAACAGGTGAGTCAACATCAATAAGTAATGTTACAAGTGAGTCACCATTAATGAGTAGTGTGACAGGTAAGTCAACATCAATAAGTAATGTTACAAGTGAGTCACCATTAATGAGTAGTGTGACGGGTAAGTCAACATCAATGAGTAATGTTATAAGTGAGTCAACATCAATGAGTATTGTGACAAGTCAGTCAACATCAATGAGTAGTGTGGCAAGTGAGTCAACATCAATGAGTATTGTGACAAGTGAGTCAACATCAATGAGTAGTGTTACTAGTGAGTCAACATCAATGAGTAGTGTTACAAGTCAGTCAACATCAATGAGTAGTGTTACAAGTCGGTTAACATCAATGAGTAGTGTTACAAGTGAGTCAACATTAATGAGTAGTGTTACAAGTGAGTCAACATTAATGAGCAGTATTATAATATATATATAAGTGAGTCAACATCAATAAGTAATGTTACAGGTAAGTCAACATCAATGAGTAGTGCAACAGGTGAGTCAACATCAATAAGAAATGTTACAGGAAAGTCAACATCAATGAGTAGTGTGACAGGTAAGTCAACATCAATAAGTAATGTTACAAGTGAGTCACCATTAATGAGTAGTGTGACAGGTAAGTCAACATCAATGAGTGATGTTACAAGTGAGTCAACATCAATGAGTAGCGCAACAGGTGAGTCAACATCAATAAGTAATGTTACAGGTAAGTCAACATCAATGAGTAGTGTGACAGGTAAGTCAACATCAATAAGGAATGTTACAAGTGAGTCACCATTAATGAGTAGTGTGACAGGTGAGTCAACATCAATGAGTAATGTTACAAGTGTATCACCATCAATGAGTAGTGTGACGGGTGATTCAGCATGAGAGAGCATTCTGAGAGGTCAGAGGAACACAAGAGGTAAGGCATTATCATAGCTTAACAAATGAGTAAGCATCAGAATAAAGTGCAAGAGAAAAGAGTAAACATCAGAGTGGATTAGCAGATGACCTAACATCTGAATGTAGTTTGACAGTGAAGTATAAACATCAACGTACAACAGATGAGTCAATGAACAGTAGTATTATAAAAGAGCTGGCATAGTTCATGTGGCAAAGATCCACAAGAAGCAACATCAGGATACAGAGAGTGGGATGAGTCAACATCAGAGAATATTTTGGCAAGTGAGTCATTATAATGCAGTTATTAGTAAGTGAGTCAACATCAGAGAATAGTATGGAAAGCAAGTCAATATAAGGCAGAAGTATGGAAAGCAAGTCAATATAAGGCAGAAGTATGGAAAGAAGGTCAATATAAGGCAGAAGTATGGAAAGCAAGTCAATATAAGGCAGAAGTATGGAAAGCAAGTCAATATAAGGCAGAAGTATGGAAAGCAAGTCAATATAAGGCAGAAGTATGGAAAGCAAGTCAATATAAGGCAGAAGTATGGAAAGCAAGTCAATATAAGGCAGAAGTATGGAAAGCAAGTCAATATAAGGCAGAAGTATGGAAAGCAAGTCAATATAAGGCAGAAGTATGGCAAGTGAGTCAATATAAGGCAGAAGTATGGCAAGTGAGTCAATATAAAGCAGTAGTATGCAAGCAAGTCCACATCAGAAAGTATCGTGACAAGCAAGTCAATATCAGAAAGTATCGTGACAAGCAAGTCAATATCAGAAAGTATCGTGACAAGCAAGTCAATATCAGAAAGTATCGTGACAAGCAAGTCAATATCAGAAAGTATCGTGACAAGCAAGTCAATATCAGAAAGTATCGTGACAAGCAAGTCAATATCAGAAAGTATCGTGACAAGCAAGTCAATATCAGAAAGTATCGTGACAAGCAAGTCAATATCAGAAAGTATCGTGACAAGCAAGTCAATATCAGAAAGTATCGTGACAAGCAAGTCAATATCAGAAAGTATCGTGACAAGCAAGTCAATATCAGAAAGTATCGTGACAAGCAAGTCAATATCAGAAAGTATCGTGACAAGCAAGTCAATATCAGAAAGTATCGTGACAAGCAAGTCAATATCAGAAAGTATCGTGACAAGCAAGTCAATATCAGAAAGATTTGTGACAAGCAAGTCAATATCAGAAAGTATCGTGACAAGCAAGTCAATATCAGAAAGTATCGTGACAAGCAAGTCCACATCAGAAAGTGTCGTGACAAGCAAGTCAATATCAGAAAGTATCGTGACAAGCAAGTAAATATCAGAAAGTATCGTGACAAGCAAGTCCACATCAGAAAGTGTCGTGACAAGCAAGTCAATATCAGAAAGTGTCGTGACAAGCAAGTCAATATCAGAAAGTATCGTGACAAGCAAGTCCACATCAGAAAGTGTCGTGACAAGCAAGTCCACATCAGAAAGTGTCGTGACAAGCAAGTCAATATCGGCGAGTAACAACAAGAAGTGAGTCAATATTACAGAGTAGAGTGGTGAGCGAGTAAACATTATTGCTGAAAATCATTTGTTTTGTGTCCTGTAGACCATATCTGTATTGTTGGTATTCAACTATAATTTTCATTTGTATTTGTTGATATTCAATTATGTTTGCATTTCCCAGCAGCAGAAGCAAAGCCTGACAACTCTTCTACAGAATCAGCAGCTAAAAGGTGTGTAACTCAAAATACAGGGAGCAGCATGTACTACTCATGATCATATGGCTTGACTGTTATTATATAAAAATAATGTTTTTTTGTAATGTGAAAAGCATTCACCCTCTGGTGTTTTAAAACAAATCAGATTTTATACTGTAAACTCGTGTCAAATTTTTTACAATGTTGTAAAACAAATTTGCTCTTTGTTTAATTTTTCTCCGGTTACTCCGGTTTCCTCCCACATTAAGAACCCCAGCGTGCTAACATCCAGACCAACAAGAGTGATTAATATAAGTTGAAACAACTTGTTTCATAATTGTTGTAAAACAAATAAAGTTTATATTATATATTAATTTTCCCAAGATATCTATCAATGCTTTTACCTGTGGATAATATTTTTTTTAAGATATCTTCTATTTGCCTTTTTGTTCAGAGATATAAAGGCTGAAAAATTTCCTGTTTGCACAGACCTGTATACTGCAACTTGCCATCAGAAATAAATTGCTTTAGTATTGGAGTGAAATATTGGCCATCTTACAATGTTATCCAGGGTTTTACAATGGTGAACCATCTAATTGTTTGCAACTGACTCAGCTAGAGGGAATTTCAATTCAGCTCAGTAATGGTACAGCAGTAAGGGAACTTGTCTAATGCTTTGTAGTCCCAAGTTTGACTCCAGGTAAAAGTACCTAAAAAAGTGACCTTGGTTATATTGGTGCTGTGACTTTGGTTACATTGGTGCTGTGACCTTGGTTACTTTGGTGCTGTGACCTTGGTTACTTTGGTGCCTATATATGGTCCTGCTAACAACCTTAACCTTTCTCTGTAACACATGAATGTCTTCCATATATGGCTCACGGACATGACTTTCTATGAAGGATTGCAGTTGGTCATTGTAGTCAGTTACCTACTGTCCAGTTACTGATCATGACACAGCTAGAGGGAATTCTGTGTCGATTAAGTCATATTATGTTTAGTCAGGTGTCGGTAAAGTTAGATGTCAGTGTACTTATGTGTCACTAAATTCTGGCATCTTTATTTTAGTATTTTTATGAAGAAATGTAATTTGTGTGGTTGATGTCTACAGTGCACCATCAAACAATGCTACTAGCTTCAGCAGTAAAGCTGACTCCGGCTACAACACGCAGACAACAAGCAGTGAGTTTGTAGAGACAGCAGGATTTAAGTTTGGCGGTTCAGCAGCTGAGGGCAACAACACATCAGTACCAGCAGCTGAGGGCAACGTCACATCAGTCCCAGCAGCTGAGGGCAAAAACACATCAGTACCAGAAGCTGAGGGCAACAACACATCAGTACCAGCAGCTGAGGGCAACAACACATCAGTGCCTAATTCTGTTAATAACAGCAGCATATCCTCTGTAGGCAATGACAAGAACAGTAGTAATGTCCCCAGTACCATTATCAGTAGTTCACTGCCAAACAGCAGTAATACCAACACCGCAGGAATACAGGATACTAGTACTCCCGTGAATAATTACCCAACTCAGCCCTCCGAATCTACTGGTCGGACACCGGTAGCAACGCCAGTGTCTGGTTACAAAGGTCCAGCTAATCCTCAAAGGACGAGGGCTTATTACCCGGACTATGTACTACCAGGAGACAGACTGAAAACTTTTGACAAATGGCCCGCAGACATACGCCAGACACCAAAACAGATGCTGGAAAGTGGATTCTTCTACGCTGGTAAGGATTGCTTTTTTTCCCACGTTTCACCAGTGTGTTCCCTTTTTGTTTATGGTCGGATAAATCTCTCTCAACATACCTAGGAAAAAACCCAGATCAGATTGGAAATCACAAGGTCATTTTCTTAAGGTCTTTCTGTTTGAATTTTCAAAAAAATAATTCATTATAATTTCTAAACAAAAATGTATTCTTTCACATTTTTTCAGAACTATTTAATCAAAATTTTATGAAAATTAATTGTATTAAAATAAACTGTCATACAAGATATAGTGTAGAAAAGGAATTTCTTTCTCTTTCATTCAATATGAATATACAATGTATCAAAGTGTCTAGCTATTTCATCCTAACACCCATGTTTTCATTTGGTTTCAGGTTATGAAGATTGCGTCCGCTGTTTTCAATGCGGAATTGGTAATATATAGACATAATAATAAACGTGTAAATTCGCACTTAAGACTTTTTGGGCGGTCGTTTTATGCAAAAAAAAAATCCCATTTTCCTTGCTGGAAACACATTTCCAGAACATTCTCTAAACATACGTATTTTAGCACCCTCAAAATTAAGTGCATCATTGAATTTTAGTCCACTAGCATATTAGTTATTTGCCATGTCAAATGTACATGCAATAGAAATCAATATACAAAAACTTAAGATCACAGCAGTTTCTGTGTAATTACTTGTATTTTATTAAACGTGATATCTCAAGTGACCTATTGCGATCGCCTTTTGTCCAGCGTCAGTGCATTTTTGTATGTAGTGTGACTTGTCAGTGAGGCCTTCAGAAGCATCATCATTTCTCCCATGGTTTCTATACACAAGAACCTGTTTTCAGGTCTACGTAACTGGGAACCGCCAGATAACCCACATGTAGAGCATGCGCGGTGGTCGCCAAGATGTCCTTTCCTGCTGCAAGCAAAGGGCTCGGACTTCATTAACCTTGTCATGGATGCTGTGGCTCAGCTCGAGCAGCGTGTGAGTAACTCATTGGATTCCTATATCCACCTTAAAGCAGTCGCCTTCTTTTAAACTATGTAAAGTTCACACCAAAACTTACCAGTAAGTACGAATCTTTTTACTAAATGACGAAATCAAAAACTATGTAGGTTCAACAAAGGTAAAGGCCATGTTCCTTTCTAAATTCGAAATTGGAGAGTACTAAAATTTGTTATGTTTTGGGTTTTTTGGGGGTAGTGGGAGCTGCTACTGTAAGAAATGACATCGATAAGATTTTGTTTTGTAAAAAAAAAAAAAAAAAAAGTGCAGAAAGCAACATGGATTATCCAAGATTAACAGAAAGTAAAAGCTATCTGATTAATATAAAAGTCCAATTAATGGCAATAATCCTGTTATAATGTTACATGTTTATGAATGTTTGTAGAAAAACGACCAAACAGCTGGTCAGTCAACAGAAACCACGACCCAGAGTTCGAACAATAACACAGTGGTTACTACATCTGAGAACCAACAAAACTCTGCAAGTGCATCTGGGTCGAGTGTAGATAATGCTTCAATCACTCCCTCGGGAACACCGACAGACACGTCAAACCCTTCACCCTCGAAACCCCCCTCAAATACACCAGCAGCTGCATCCAAAGCTACACCTTCTGCATCTCAAGGTGTCACAGCTGCTGGGAAAGACATGAAAGGAACCGACATGTCAAACCCTACACTTTCGGAACCTCCCTCAGCGACGCCAGCAGCTGCATCAAAACATACACCTTCCTCATCTCCGAGTATCACAGCTGCTGGGAAAGACCTGAAAGGAGCAGAAACTGTTTCCACAAAACACAACATCACAGTAGATGATGTGTCTACCACAAATGTAGTCACTGGATCAGACAAAGCAAAAGGTATACAATATTGTATGCTGGGGGAACTTTTACTCCGTCAGATAGTCGCCCTCCGCTGCTCAAATATATTCCCACAGTGTTAAATTTACCACTCACATGTTATTGTTACTTGAAATGGCATGCTGTGTACTTATATTGGCTGTCAAAATAAATTCGCCCTTATTGCAAAAGGCAAACAAGAGGCCCAATGGGCCTGAATCGCTCACCTAGTTTTAATCTCACACTTGTAATCGTAAAAGTGGACTAAAATACAACTACAGGCAGAATATCAGTGTTTGATTCATAAAAACTTTTAAAAGATTTAAACATATGACGCATGTGACCTTGAATGTCGAACAAGGACATTAGGTTGAACAGAGGTTATAGTCTTCAAACCCAGCATGCTTCTAGCAAAATATCATTACCCTGGACCTTTTGGTTATACAGAACAAATCATTTAAAGATTTAAACATATATTGACCACTGTAACCTTGAGTATGGGCGAAGGTCATTCATTTGAACAAACTTGGTAGCCCTTCATACCAGCATGTTAATGGCCAAATATCATCACCCTTGGCCTTTTGCTTATTAAGAAGAAGTCATTCAAAGGTTTTAAACATATTTGACCCCTGTGACCTTGAATATAAGTCAAGGTCATTTATTTGAACAAACTTGATAGCCCTTCATCCCAGCATGTTACTGGCCAAATATCATCACCCTAGGCCTTTTGGTTATTCAGAAGAAGTTGTTTAAAAGATTTTAACATATTTGACCCCTGTGACCTTGAATATAAGTAAAGGTCATTTATTTGAACAAACTTGGTAGCCCTTCATTCCAGTTTGCTTCTGGCCAAACAACATCACCCTAGGCCTCTTGATTATTAAGAGGAAGTTGTTTAAAGTAAAATATTGACGACGGACAGATGGACGACAGACGGACGCCGAACGCCGCACCACAGCATAAGCTCACTTGGCCCTTCGGGCCAGGTGAGCTAAAAAGGCGAAAGTGAAACTGAAACCAAAAGGTTTAGGTATACAATAATTTTGCAGACATTTCAAGTAGAGTCTAATGTTTCATTACCTGACGTTTCAAGGATGCATATGAAACAGAAATAAAGCTTCGCTATTTTTTTACACAAAATCAGATGTCTTTAGTCACAATCTTTTAACACTGTCAACTTTTGCACTAATATAAATTGATCATGCTTAATAAAAATAACTAGCTTGGACATTCTATAGTTAATATCAATGGATGAATGAGTTAAAGTGTGCTGGTAGGCATTAGTCGACAATCGGCATTAGAGGCAGCTTTTGTCAGTTTTCCTATAACGGCCTTGGATCACTGTAAACAAAGTATTCAACCTAATAAGCACACCTGGACCTATAAAGACACCCCCACCTTTTTTCTGAGAAAGAGAATGGGTGTGTTTAAAATCCCTACCAAGGACCCAGAAGGCCTGTATGACTCACCTTTAATGTAAAGCAACAATGGAAAATAAAAATCACATAAAATCCCTCCAATGGTACAGAAGAAGAAGGATTTAAAGATTTATACCTCAAATTCCCCTATTTAATCTCCCTTTGCCCAAGGGTGCTCCAGGCCAAATTTGGATAAAATCCCTCCAATGGCCCTGGGGTCTACCCCACCCTTGGAGACTTGATCCCTGGGTCATAACTATGAAATGAAAAAAGATCCCCACCCCAAAACGTTATATACAAATGCTGTGCATGAGGAGATGAATGCAGTCATGATATTACAATTGATCCTGGGGTCTTGCCACAACCCTAGGGACCTAGTTTCTGAGTAACAGCTTGGAAACAGTTGAGATCCTGACCCAATAACCATACAAAAAATTGCTGGGCATGATAAATGTAATACAGATATGCTACAAGGATTGGCCTAGGGGTCTGGCCCATTCCCTTGGATCTTATTTGGAGAATATTTTGCCATGATTGCTTAGATATCCAGGTAAGCGATACAGGCCCTCTGGGCCTCTTGTTTGTAAGCACACAGTGCACTTATTAGGTTGAATGCGGTATTAATTTCACCGGCTATATTTTTCCCAGAAAAAGTTTCCTTCATATCATGAACAATTAAAACCTTGCAAAAAAAAATTGGATAGTTATTGATTATCTTGGGGAAACTATTTAGTTTTAACTACATTTTAATCAATTGTTTGCAGTTATTTGACTTTGTTTTAAATTGGGTGTCTTAAATAGATTTGACTGATTTGATGAAAACAGAAATTGTCAGAAAAATTAAACAAGATGGCTATGGAGAGGACAATGTAAAAGCAGCTCTGAGGATCCTACTGGACACAAAAGGTAGTGTCTATTTAGTATTTGTACACCATAGTGTATTTATACCATATGTTGATACATGTACCATCAATTTCTCCCACCTCTGTGTATATTAGACATTAAGTTATGAATAGGGGAATGAATCCCCAAGTCTTAACCCTCGGGTTTGAGGCTTCTCTGTCACACCCTCAAGGTAGGGGATGATTCAATTAGTCTCACCCTAGGGTTAAGACTTGGGGATTCCCCTATTCATAACAATTGTACAATTTACAATGACGTCATGTCAGCAATCCATCAACATCACATCACGCCAACCCTGAATTTAGCCTGGTTAACATAACATTATGTATATGATACACAATGGGTAAACAGGGTAAGAGAAAAAAAATCATTCACCCCCTTGTGGTGAGATTGGGAATCTCAACCTCGAGGAAAGATTCATAAGATGCCAAACACTCGGCAAAGCCTCTTATTTGGCAACATAAGGGGATGAGAGATTCTATTAATCCAAAATAGGTGCACCTGGTGGCCCCTAGTTCAGGAACTACATGTTTTTCTAAATCTTCACTTAGTCTCGCATAAAAATGAATGTTTCAAGCCCTAAATGAATGTTTCAAACCCTGCTGAAATGACTATTAAACAAGCTTAATTTTAAGCTTTTTACAGTTTACCATTGGTATTTTCTTTTTCCAAATATGTTATAGTTTGATGTGAATGTCTGCAGATAAGATCTCGAGGTATCCTAGATGTTACATAGGTATTTCTTTGGATCTTCTTCTTGCCCATCACCTGCGTTGATTGATTTGTTTTGTAAGACATAAGAGGCATTAAAATCTACTTTTGGTATTAACAGAGGCAACCGACATCACAGAGGCGATGATATACGATACAGTAAGAAAGAACACGTCGGTACGACACAGACGAACAGGTAAATATGACTAATATGTGTACTCAGTGAAGTTTATTAATAGACTGCTGGATTTTTAAACATTCTTCAAACATATTTTGCAACATTTTCAGTTTTTCATAGGGTTTAGTTTGCATGGCAAAGTTACTGTTTATAAAAAATAGAGGGCAAAACAGTATGATATTGTTGAAAATGAGTATTTATGTTAACATAATGTTTTATGGTCGTATGGCAATGTCTTCCAGGTCAAGGTCGTGTTAGTGGGTCAAGGTCAAACTAATCATAGTTCTTCTGTTCAAGGCTTTACTCCAACGATGTTAGTGTTACACGTCGAGAAACTTTTGACAGGTGTCATGTTAAAGTCGGCAAAATAATATCTGATAGAAAAAAAGCCGACCAGCGGCCTCTTATGTTATAGGAGTAATCAAGGCTCCTGAATAGCTGAAGATATTTCTCATCAAACTTTATAGATGTATATGTCAACTTGATCACAGATGAAAAATGTCAGGCTTTAAGGACCTCTGTTCTACTGCACTGGATTTTCCTATATATACAGTAACCTCCCCTTAATTTCATTTAGGATATAACTACTGGACTAGGACTCTTCCGTTTACCGGGTAGCTCAGACTGTTAGATCAATAGTATAACAATATAAAGTTCAGGGTTCGAATCCCAGTTTAGCCCACTTGATATTTTACACTCAGAACATTGTCGTTGATGGTCTTCTGTTTATTTTATATTCACAATATTTTTTCTGTAAAAAATCACACAAGGTATGGTTTTAATTTCAAAAATGATTGATCAAATCTATTGGAATGCTGTAAAAATACATTTTCGGACAGTGATACAGCCCTCCTTAACATGCGACTGTCACATGTCAGACAGATGTGTTATGTATTCTTTGTGGCACTGATCTCTAATATTAATATAGAACAAAGAATGTTTGTATTTATTTTTCCCTATTTATTAACAGCTTTGGGTGGTGAGGCAGCAGCAGAGCCCCTAAGTAAGTACAATAGTCATAATCTGTCCAACCATCTGTTAGGTATGGTAGGGAGTAGGGAATGGTTAGGTGGGTGGGTTTTTTAAGGGGATGGGGGATTGTTTCTATAATAACCTTGTCGATTTTAATAGATTTGAAAATAAATATTTAGCCATACAATAAACATGGATTCATATTTATTAAAATGTGGCTCATTGGTAAAAAAGTGATGCCATTTCTAGAGGTCAAATGATGCCATTCTCAGAGGTCAAATGAAATGTAATGGGTGTAACAGAAGAAAATGTCTGCTCAAGTTTGCTCCTCATGTTAGACTTTTAAAACAATTCATCCAGAGTTGTCAGTGTGTGTCGAATCTGTTAACATCCAGAATAATGAAAGGGGTGAAAAGACTAGACTGAGGAGTGAAATATCAACACGACAACAGTATTGATATGGCTATGTCTGTTGGCCATAGGATCATGTAAAGGTCCTCGCCTCCAGAAATAGTTACAAATGATGAAAACAAAAACTTCTACTGGAAATATTAAAAATTTGGCAAAATGCTTATATCTATCCTGCAATAAGCCCCGTGGGAGGGGAGGGAAATCAATTATTACAGACGATGAATTAGATTTTGTTGATATCTCTTCTTAATGGCAATAGATACACATGTATTTACAATTTCTGCATATTTTCTTATGAAAATTATCTCGGAACTGAAGTCTGCAGGAAAACTGCAATTGTTTTGTGCCTAGACAACTTTGAACTTGATAAACTGGTACCTTTATTTTAAATGAGGATGCTTTTCTACATTGTTTAGTGTTAAATAGTAGCCATCATTTTTACAGGTGAAGAACTTCAGCGTATCAAAAAAGAGAATCGAGAAATGAGGGAGAGAACGGTGTGTAAGATTTGTTTGGAAGACCAAGTCTCCATAGCGTTTATCCCCTGTGGTCATTTAGTGGCCTGCGGACATTGTGCTCATGCCATAACAAGGTGTGCTGTGTGTAGAAAACCAATCACCAGTAAAATCCTCACTCACATGGATGTGTAAGCTTCAGTAATCATGTGGTCAAGGTATATTTCTAATTCATTTCAATTCCTTTTATTTCCATGTTTGCCTCAAAGACTTTAATCTCGCTATATGTATTTATTGTACATTATTTTTGAAATTTTGGTGAGGTTACGGTTTATGAATAACCATTATGGATGCTGGAGAAATATAGCCTCATTTTCAGCATTAAAGTACAATGTACATCATAACAAATGAATGTCTGCTTAAAGAGGGTGATAAGTTTGTCGCTGTAAACAACAACAAGGATGTAATAAGGTACATAAATCCCTTAAAAAAAGTGATAGAAAATCTTTGTAAAATAATCCAATAAGGAAAATTTATCCATGATTTCATTTAAGCAGGGGATCAGACACAACCAACAACAAATAGGAATTTCTTCTTACTAATTTAGTGACCACTTTAATATGCCAATCATTTTTGATTTTTTTATCTGTTTGGTGGGAAAATACAAAAGTGGATAGCTAGTGTATCTTTTAGCCTAAGTAACAGTTTTGTAATATATGTATTTAAATCAATAATTTTCAACCCGTTTATTGTGTTTGGATATATGTGCTAGCTTTTAGAGCATACAAGATATCGTGACGTATGCAAGATATAGAGGATCTAGCACGAGTGTTCAAGTTATATTGAATTTATTGAACGAGTATATTAATTTCATATGAAACGAGCCTTNATTTTATGTATTTCATTGGATGGCTTGTGCAGTGTTTATTCACAAGAAGTGTTGTTTGAGGACATTGGCATAACTGTCGATGCATATAGCATCTTAAAATCTATGTGCTGTATAAGGAGATAGCATGTAATGTCATTAGGCAATAGATAGTAAAATCAGAAGAGTCATTGTATGGGGCCGCGGTGGCAGAGTGGTTAAGGCATCTGACATTCTGCTTACACTAGCCCTCCACCACTGGGTCACGGTTTCCAGGCCTGTCATATTTTTTCACCATACGCTGTTAACTCATTCACCCCTGAAATTTCATAATGAACTATTCTAACCTTTGAATTGGAAGGGTTCAACGAATTATTATAATCCATCCGTATTTGCTATACTGTTCATTGAAAAAGGTGAAAGATAAACTCGGGCAAAAACTTTCTTGTATACCATATTTAATATACATTTCATAAATTATTAATTAGTTTAAAGCAGTTTTCTTACTCATTTTTTGACTTTACATAAATAATATCAAGAAACTAGGATCTGTAACCTAACATCACTCATCTTCTGGCTTTGAGAAACCTCTATATACTTTGAATATAATTATTGAATAGCATTGATTTTGTTTGTGTTTGTCTTTCAAATGAAATTATAAGAAATGATCAGGATTTTTAGCTCATGATCAGATATGCAGATTTCCCTTGGTCTATAGCTGTGTATACAATGAATTCCATTTTAAGACCGATTGGAAAAACAAAATGGCCGACAGGTGGCCATCTTGTTTTTTACAAGTTAAGATATGTTATCAGTATTTCACAGAAAGTATTAGAGGGATCTTTCTCAAATTAGATATGAAGAACTTGAGAACATGCTTTAAGCACCAAACATAAAATTTAATTTTGTAAACAACATTGATAAACTACAGGAGATTCACAACAACAGTGTGAGCAACGTCACATCAAAGACATTTTTTACACGATAACTTTGATCTGAATATGGAGGCTGCTATGCTTGCGTTCAGAATAAACTAAGTAAGTTAAAGATAACCTCATCAGGTTTAGAGCTCCAGGATGCTATGATACTGTGGTGTAAAAATGAGCAATCTTTTGAAGGGGTTCATGGGATATCATATGCAAAAACTTTTTACCACCAAATCAATATACCTTCCTTCCCTGTTTCGACATTTTGCCAGTAGCATGTATAAATGGCAATCAGGTTTGTCCAAGTTAATGACTTTTACAAAAGTTGTAAAAAGTATCACTAATGTGTTAAAAAGTTTTAAACAACTTCGTGATAACCAAGAGGTACAAACGGATATGATATTTGGCCTGTAGCATACTTGATGGAGAAACATCATAGTTATTCAAACAAATGACTTTGTCCCTCTTCCAAGGTCAAAAACATTGAATGGGTTAAACCCTTTAAACAACTTCCACGACGTCTAGAATAGAGATGTTTTGCCCGAAGTTTGCTGGTGTGAAGCAGTATCTGAAGAAATGACCTCCACACATTTTCTTGGTTTCGGGATCAAATCTGTGAATTGTTAATCTTTTTTGAAATATATATAGAAAGTCTGGGATTAAAGTTGAAATTAACTTAATAAGTCTTTGAACAAGAAGACAAAGATGACTCGCATTACATCATTACGATACATACTGTACTTAAATATGTAGTTGCAAAAAAATAACAGGGCTCAATGTTTTTTAAAAGGGTGATTAGTTTAAACTATTTTATGACATTTTTCAACTTTTAATAATTCAATCAATATACAAGTTAAAAACTCGTAATTTTGCATGTATTTGAAGTGTACTGAAATATTTGCTATCTGGAAATTCTTAACTCAAATAATGATTGTGTTTTTAAGAAAAGAAAAAAAAAATTGCGCTAATCCATAATTAAGCTTTATATTATTGTTTGAACATCTAGGCCCAGGACTTCAATCCTTAAATTTATTATTGACATGACAGCTAAGGAAATCAGCCCTTTGACAATCAGGCAATTAGATAATAAAGAAAACAAACTCAGGATATTTTACTCCATTATTTAATCCTTCTTGTAGCTTTAAAGCATAACAGAGTACTTTTTACTCGGCTGTTGTGAACATGAAATCACAACCATCACGGAGTGACCTCCCCTGAACATTAGACAGGACTCAACTTTCATCATGGAGTGATCTCCCCCTGAACATAGGAAAAGGCATCCATCCTGGAGCTACCTGCCCTGAACAAGAGGATATCAAAAACCTTCGGGAATGATTTCCTCGGTCTGAACAAAGGATATCAAATCCATTACAGTGATCTCCCCCTGAGCAGGGTTGCACTTACATCTTTGAGTTACCTCCCCTGAACAGAAGAAGGCATGACACTGACCTCCAGCATGGTGTTACTTTGCCCGGAACAGAGGATATCACTTCCATCACTGAGGAAGCATAGACACTGTCGTACAATAATAAAATCACAAAAGTTCAGAAAACATTTAGCTAGAAACAATATCACAAATGGACTGAATCTCTACTGTTATATATATATATATATGTATAATATACTAAAGTCATTTGTTCATACACAGAAGAGGCCAGTCTGAGGCTAGGCATGTAACAATAGCACACTGCTAAATATCATCAACAATAGCACAATGCTAAATATTAACAATAGTACAATGCTAATCTTTGATAAGAAAAGCCTGCATTGATGAATTATTAGCAAAATCAGTCTTGAACACTGATTCATGTATATGAGAAGAGAAAGCTACTGGTGAACACTCAATGAGTCTGTAACAGAAAAGCTCCTCGTCGTTTACATTTAATTATAGTCTGTATCAGAATTTGAATAGCTCCTAGTCGTTTTAAAACATTTAATTATAGTCTGTATGGGAAAAGCTGCTACTGGCGATACATATTTGATTCAGAATAGCTCCTTGTAAGCACTCAACAATATATCTGAATAGCTACATAGATGTTGTTCGTGTATCAGCATAGCTACTTGTAAAAATAGCTATTTGTAAACACTGAACAACAGTGTTTCAGAATAGCTTCTTGTAAAAAAATCTCAACAATAGTGTATTATAATAGCTACTTTTAAATACTCGAACAGTAGTCTTTATCAGAACAGCTACCAATGAACAATAGACATCAGAATAGCTTTGACTGGTCTGTGGTCTTCATTTTTTTTTAATTACTATTTTCTCCCTGAAGTTAATAAAACTAATTATCTCAACAAGAGTTGATTATTGTAAAAGAAAATGTGTACCTATTATCATGATATTAGTTCCTGGAATATACTGCATGCCAATACTATAATATCTGGTGACTTTGGCCAGAAACACATTACCTCATCAACAACACATGCTCATATACATGTACGAATATAGTATTGCTGTCCATCAGTTAGATTGAACCAGGAACATTGTAGATGTGGGTGTCGCAGAAGTTAATGCAAAACATAAAATTACAATTCTCTACAGGTGCTAAACCAGCCCAGGGGAAAAAAAGGTACATTTGAGGTACACTTTTTGGGGTNAATGATAAAAACAATGTAATTGCCCAAGTTTTCAGTAACTTCTTGTACTCTAGGAAAATATCTTAATAAAACAAAACACTGTTTAAATTGTTAAAGCTGATCCCAAGTAAAGTGAACTCATCATTTTGATATTTCATGATGTCATTCCTGAGAAAAGACTAATAATTTCAGTAAAAATATTGTAGCAAATATCCATAAAATAGCCTAAAACTTAAAAGTTGCATGTTTAATTTTCTTTGCATATACAAATAATTATTTCCTGCAAGACATTAAACATACCAGGTAGGATGAACATGAAGTAACAAGAGAATTTCGTGATAAAAACGGCAAAAAGTAAGCCATGATTGTGTTGCAATGCAACCAAAAAGTGAGGTAACGACTATAATCCTACATTTGTCTGTTTATTTGGCTTGTTATGACAGAATATATCTTATGTTTGTAAATAACTTTGGAAAGGACTTAAAATACAGGTTAATCAAATTAAGTTTTTCTTTGGTTTTTAACGAAATTTATTTGAATGTAAAATAAACCATCTTATGGCAAGTCTATATGCTTAATCTTAGGATTTCTTTCACCTTTCCTCTGATTTTTTTGAAAATGTCACGAACCAATTAAGCAATGATACATGTACAAGAACAATAATTCGCTTATAACAGGATAAAAAAGTCAGTGACAGCAACCTGGAAACATTTATACTGATGTTGCAAAAGCAGTTCTCTTTATACTGATGTTGCAAAAGCAGTTCTCTTTATACTGATGTTGCAAAAGCAGTTCTCTTAATACCCTGACCTTTTGACCTTTAGCCTGTAAAGCATTGATGCTTCTTGGTTATGTCTTGGTGAATGACTTCAGCAAGTTAATGATATTCCATTCATTGCTCTGATAGAAATTGAGGTTTTACAGAAACCTCCTCAAAGTTGCATCTATATTCATTTAGTAACGTTTGACCTTGACCTTTAACCTCAGAAGCCTTGAGCTTCAATCTCATCTTTATGAACAATTGTAGTTAGTGGAATGATGTTCCATACATTGCTATGACAGAAACTTCAACTGTGTGAGGACAGGATGCACAGACAGACATGAAATGCCTCCATACAGCTACCTCCATAGTAATTACAACAGAGATGTCATGGTAAGCTTATCAAATACATTGGCAAAGTTATTTCTTTGGCTTACAATCATTTAATACAATTATGGACTCAAATCATCTGAAGTTTTACAATTAAATCAATGTTTTTTTCAACTACTGGGACTTCACATACATGTAAAGTACAAGTAAAATATATTTGAAGAGTGAAGATTTGTAATACTTCCACGATCTGTCTTTTTAGTCAAATAGTAATTTGAGAATTTAGTACATGTCTATTTGTAATCAGTACAATTATACCCGCCATTCAGCCACATATTCTACCACATATTCTACCACGTATAGTGTGTGAACCCAAACTATACCGAATATCTTTAACAAATATTGAATAAAGTATATACAAAGGGAGGTAATCACGATAAATTTGAATTAATCTAGAATTATTGCTTTGTTGCTGACAATAAAACACTTGATTAAATGCATTTTCAAAACAAAACTGCACCTTCTCCAAGAAAATTAAACATTGAAGATTACTTGGGTTGCGTAGGTTTTGTTATACTAAACAACTCGATCTGACAGGGATTTTCTATGAAGTAATTGCACAGTTGACCAAGCCTTTCCTAGGACTAAAATGCCACGCCAATAGCTATCATTCAGATAAAAAAAAATCTGCAGATAGTTGTGCCCTATGGTGTACAATTCCTTATTTCAATCATAGATTCTGTTTTTGTGGGAAAATGCAGCTCTGTAAAATATATTTTGATATAAATCTGATTGGGGGGGGGGGAATAGTTTGATCCTGATATATGTAAATTAACATTGGATACACAACATTGGGGCTGTTTACAACACTTTCTCAGATATTTACATCTTCAGCTTTCTGTTCTGAAACAGGAGATTCCTTATATATACAAACAATATAAATATACATCATCAATATAATATAGACATTTCTTAAATACATACACAACAAATTTTTTAAATGTATATTCATAAAACGCCACCAGTTTTCCAGATTTGTCTTCCAAATTGATGTACCCTATGAAACAAACAGTGATATTATGCACAAGAAAACTTGAATAAGTAAGAGAATAAGTCATCAAATAGACCACGATAACGATAAGCTTAGAGTGGATAATTGAGATAACACATGTTTACAAAGAATTCAGACTTACACACTAATAACCTTATTCCTTAGGCAAGATGTCTTGATACATTTTTCAAAATTTTAATTTTGCATCAGACTGTTTTAATACCCTTGCTGCTAAAAAAAATAAAAAAAAGTATCAAACAGTGAGAAGTAGAAAGTTATATCCATTTATAGTGGTAACAGATCTATTGTTTGTAGAAGATTTATAGAAGAAGAGGCCGTTGGGGCCTGTATCTACGGGAAGTTTCGATCGCTCACCTTTACATATGTTTATTACTGTACTGCTTCCTTTATTGGTTAGCTAACCAGAAGAATCTGAGAAAAGTTAACGAATCTGAGGAGATAGCAGCTTTCTACGACAATGAGAGATTTGAGCAGCTATATATGTGCGTGTGCTCATGATGGAAGCTTTAGACAATGATGATGATGACAATAGAATCTATCTATAGCAATAACATACTAAGCCAGGGGCTACTAGCAGCTCTGATAACGACAGAGGCTAACAGCATCCTTCTTCATAACAACTGACTTTTAAATCCATTCATCAAAAAGGTATTGGTACTATAAGGCAAGCTTTTATACACATTGATTTTGAATATTTCTTTGGCAAGTGAGGCCATAATGGATTTCAAATTGGCCCTCAAATTGTTTAGTCAAATTCTGGCAGTTGAAAGTTAATATACCAGCTTTAATCCTCCTTACTTTTCTGTCCTACCCAACGGACTGTCAATTTTCAAGTTCCTTAATTTTCTCAAAAGTTCCTCAAGTCAACTCAATGTATAGCAAAACATGTTAAAAACATTGAAATTCTGTAGAACATGTAACAACAGTATAACAAGGTTTAACTGTAAACCTTGGGTTCTTTTATAATCCCACATCGGAAAATTGAAAAGTTGATTAAACACGCTCAAGCAATTACTGAACAGAGGTAAAATGAGATGGACCAACAGTGCACCACAGCATCAGTTCACATCATACAAACAATCGGACTGTAACACTTAACAAGTTAAAATGATTGAATCAAAGAAACCAATTAAACATTGTCACTAAAGAAATTGAGAAAGCACAAGGATGTAGACAATAGGATATTTTAGGTAAATTACAAGACCAGCAGTAATTTGGCAACTCTCTTGCACCACATTCTAATATAATCATTAAAAGCAGTTTAAACTATTTTTTGGCAAGTAGCTTTGGTACGACAACTCTACATTTGACAACAATATAACTGGAAGATACATTTGACAACAATATAACTGGAAGAGGTCTACATGTTCAGTGGCTTATACAAAGAAACTGTCAGCTAAGCCAAAGTCTGATAATGCCCCATAAAAACACAAAGCCAATTTCGGTTGAGTTTGATTTAAACGTTCCTGTGAAAGTTGAGTATGTCTACAATGATATCCACTTCAAAATGTCTTGCTAGTTTTGCCATCAACAGCTAGAATCTATTCACTTTTAAACAATGAATATTTTTTTAAAACCTTACCATCACCAAACCTTATACTTAACCTTAACTTCTCCTCATACTTGCTGTTCATTTTACTAATTCAAATTAATTATACAGATTAAGCATTTTATATTTTCACAAACACTCGGTATGTTTTTTTGACGGGACCCCAAGAGACCTAGATTTGCTGACAGGACCTGACAGCTATTCATAAATGCAACCACTTGATTTGTTTTTACTTTGTTGTATTGAATATACCAGATATTGAAGTTTCAACAGTAAAGTGAAGATTTCAGATCGCTAACATGACTTCACAACACAACCACTTACACAAAGTTACACGGGACATTTATAGGGCGTAAGATTAAATATAATATGTAAGGATCCGCAAGTAGATCATATTTGAAAATTAACTCACAGAACTGGATATCAATTATAATAAACATGAGGGTTTTTACAGGGGCTTTTTCTGACATAAAATGGAGAGAAAAAAATGAAAAGAAAAAAAAAGTTTCCAAGCATTATAACATGATTTTTCTCTGATACGTACAGAACTGTCTGTTTACCATGAAGTATTAAGTTCAACGTCACAATTTATTGTAACTTTAGTTCTCTGAGAAAACCAAACATAATGATCACATGGGGTAATGAAAGGAGCCGTGCAAGATATATTTGAACATGTTCAGCAGTATAAACTCAATAGTAATCTAGTACAAGAAAAGAGTATTATAAATTTTCTCGCAAAGTCGAACATAAAAAGATCGACTCAGTGGAACTTCAGAGTATCAAACATATAAACATAAAAACAAAATTGGCGTATAATATCAGAAACAAGTTGAATTGAAAATAGCCTGAAGTCTAACTTACTTTGCAGAAATACTGTTGTAACATTGGGAAGTGAATGGAAGAAACCAAGATAAGGAAGGAAAAAAGTATGTACCGGTAATCTCGTATTCATAAGAGGGGGAAATATCACACCCAGTATGCCTGTAATAAATTACTGGACAAACACAACAACTTCTTATAATTTAAGTAATAAAACTTCTACAGCCATAAACTGATGTTTTAGATATGTTAAGTACTAAATTAAATACACTTATCATACTGATCAGGGAGAAAATTCAATCACTTGCTGTGTTATCAAAGTTGTTTTCCTTGTATTCTGGAGTCACTGCAAATTCAAAATTGTTAGAAGTTCAAAATGGCAGACAATTTTCAATATAAATATATATATATACATGTATGTATTAAACTTTTTGTACACTGAGAAGTATCACATAAGCCGTAAAATTATACTAATGTGTTTAACTTTGAAAAATATTCATAACAAAAACAAAAAGCAGAATACATATGGAGAGGAGATAACATTCTTCGTGATATTTTCACATGTTTTCAATCAATATACAATGTTTCAATAAATTAAATGAATATTTTCATAAAATTAGGAACAAATGTTCCATAGTATACATGTATATTAAACAGTGACGTATATTGAGTAAACGAGAAAATAATACCGGGAATTGAGAATAAAATGAAAGAAATTTGAAGGGAAATTTACACTTTCGCATATACATTATGTATATTTCAGGCAATGCAATGTCAGTATTTTAAACATGTTAAAAAGACATTCACTTTATCATCAAATTTTGTCCACTTCCTGATTAAAAAACAGCAATAATAATAATAATGTCAATTAGCATATGAAATGAAAACAACAACATATCAGAGGAAAAATTAAATTACTAAAAATCAATTATCCATTAAAAACAATAATTGAGGGTAAAAAGCATCGTTGATCAACATATATATGTAGCAACGCCTTCATCCCGGTACAACAAAATATCCCTGTAATTGATTTCAATCAGTCACAATATCTACGGGTTTGGATTTCTCAAATCACATTTACTAAGATATGTTTTACTTCTATATTGAGTAGCTATAGGCAACTGTTTATCGCTGTACAACAAATCCACCAGATCTGTCTTGGACCTGATATAAGTTATTAACACATCCACCAGATCTGTCGCGGACCTGATATAAGTTATTATCACATCCACCAGATCTGTGGCGGACCTGATATCAGTTATAAACACATCCACCAGATCTGTCGCGGACCTGATATCAATTATTAACACATCCACCAGATCTGTCGCGGACCTGATATAAGTTATTAACACATCCGCCAGATCTGTCGCGGACCTGATATCAGTTATTAACACATCCACCAGATCTGTCGCGGACCTGATATCAGTTATTAACACATCCACCAGATCTGTCGCGGACCTGATATCAGTTATTAACACATCCACCAGATCTGTCGCGGACCTGATATCAGTTATTAACACATCCACCAGATCTGTCGCGGACCTGATATCAGTTATTAACACATCCACCAGATCTGTCGCGGACCTGATATCAGTTATTAACACATCCACCAGATCTGTCGCGGACCTGATATCAGTTATTAACGCATCCACCGGAACCGTTGTAAAATTTGGCTGTAAAGTCATTATTAACACATTACTGGGTTATATACAGGGTTGGCTCACATTTTTTCAAAGTAGTCTCTCCCTACAAGTGTTAGATACCACTTGAGTTGTCTCTCCTACATGCATTATATCTTCCTATTAGACAGCTTGAGTTGGATTATCCAGGGTGTGCTGATTTTTTAATTAATGTTGTTGGAACTGTGGAAACACCTCCGAAAATTAATTCCACAATGACCTGCAAAAGATTACTGTAGGCAAAAGCAGTCTTTATCCAAACATTCCAGACATGTGTTGTCACATCCTTGTCCAATGCTGTCTCAAAAGAAAAGCATCAAGAAACCAAGCTCTGCCCAACTTCTTTGACAACAGAGGTCCAGCCATTTTGTTGACAAAATGAGACTCGTTGGCAATTACCTTGGAGAAAAATAAGCAGCTTCTTTTTCCTTTGTGATTTAGGTGGGTATATCATGGGAAGGGAAAATCTTCCTTGATAGTAACAGACATTACAAGATCTGTTTTTAACAAAAGATTTCTAGCACAGTTATGAGTGTTGAGAGAAGCACAGTTGTCTCCCCTACCAGTTATGAGTGTTGAGAGTAGCAGTTGTCTCCCCTACCAGTTATTAGTGTTGACAGCAGCACAGTTGTCTCCCCTACCAGTTATGAGTGTGGAGAGTAGCAGTTGTCTCCCCTACCAGTTATGAGTGTTGAGAGTAGCACAGTTGTCTCCCCTACCAGTTATGAGTGTTGAGAGCAACACAGTTGTCTCCCCTACCAGTTATGAGTGTTGAGAGTAGCACAGTTGTCTCCCCTACCAGTTATGAATGTTGAGAGGAGTGGTATAGATGACACAACTAGTACATGAGAAGGAGCAGACAGCCAGTGAGTACCTATGCATTACCTCAATACTGCCATCTCTTCTAGTCCAGGTGATCAGAGCTTTGTAGCTATGTAAAGTCTCGGTCCCAATGAGCCTTGTAGCCATATAACAAGGAGTTTGTAGCAATGTAACACTTTATAGCCCAAGTGAGTTTAGTAGCCATGTACTAGCACTCTCTCGGCCTAGTGGATTTTGTAACCCGGTACCATTCTCAGGTCCTTGTGATTTTTAAAGCCATGAAGCACTCTCGGGTCCTGTTGAGTCTCGTAGCCAAGTTACACATTCAAAACACAGCTAGTTTTCAGATTTGTCAGATCCAAGTGCACACTGTAACCATACAAAACTATCAGGACCACATGAATTTTGAATTCATCTGTCTGTCAAAATCACTTTTCCTCCGAAGCATTGTCAGTATTCTCAGGCTGGGCGGCTGGCTCTTTTGAGGGCGTTCCTGGGGCACCTGGGGAGCTGTTAGCTGATGCTGCAGACTCTGTTTCTTCCTTGATGGGTTCCATTTCACTTCCATTATCTTGCTGCTGTAAAAAGAAAAGTAATTCATCAACAACACATTCTTATCTAGCTACTGTACAAGTGAAGAAATCTTGAAGAAGTTAATTGTCAACAACACACTGTTATCTAGCTACTGTACAAGTGAAGAAATCTTCAAGAAGTTAATTGTCAACAACACACTGTTATCTAGTTGCTGTAACAGAAGTTAATCGTGAAAGACACATCTTTAATTTATCTGGTAGATGTAACAGAGAGGTAAATGCTCCATACCTGTTGTAAAAATTATTGGCAAATACATGACCATCAGACAACAGGTCGTATATGCCATTATTTGTACCAGACATGCTACTTTTAATGGTCTATTTAATGCCTGACATATGACACTATATTAATGTGATGATAAGTGAAAGCGGTCTAGCTGTGCCTGACCCGTCCATATACCTGTACAGTCTCTGTAGTAGTCTCACTGTTCATCTTCTGTTGTTCCTCTTGTTTCATTACCCCTATCCAGTACTCATAATTCTCCTTCATGTTCTTCGTCAGCAGACAGTTCACCTTCCGCGGCTTCTTGTCAAACTTAAGCAGCACAGGTGATCCTACAATACATATAGGTACAACTAGTGTAAGGATCTAGATACCAGCATTATAGAGGTATTGGATCTGATACTGATACAAGTATTGACACAAATTTGTCCTACCTCCTCTTTGGTTCATTATCATGTGGAGGTCAATGTTTTGTGATATTGACTTGATGTTGCTAATTTTGGAAACGTCTCAATATTTAATGGATCACATTTCGACTGCAACCTCACAATGCTCTCTGCCAAATGCAGTATTTTCTTCCTGCAATTTTCGTACCTTCTATCTAGTTAATAATTTAAATATGATTTAGCATCTTATATAACAACTAAGGACATTTATTTTGGTGAATATGTGGTTTTATGGACTTGAAAAAATGTATATTGACCTCAACTTTGCCTCAGTCATTATCACTTCCTAGGGTCCATAACCACATATCTACCACAACAGAAGTCCATAATTGATAAATATCATGGATGATAAAGTCTTCATCTTTCCTACAGATAATGGCTAGTCCCTTCTGCTTCAATGATATCTGAATACAGCTTTATTGAGCTTAACTCATTCACCCCTGCAGACACATTTGAACTCCTCCAATTCGAAGGTTGGAATAGTTTATTATGAAATTTCAGGGGTGAATGAGTTAACTACAGTCATTAACATCCATGATCAGGAAAACTGTTTCATTTAATGGACAATTTTTCCGTATCCATATGAATGTTAGCCTTATTCTGCTTATGTGACATTTAAATCATCCTTTTGAGGATTGATTTTGATATTTACCAGTGTCCTGGTCAGTCTCATTCTCATCCTCCGTGTCTTTACATGTACTGTCTGCTTTATCTGTATCGGACTGTTCTGAAGCTAAGCAAACAACAGTTGGTTAAAATAACATGGTAATAGAAATATCACACATACCAAAAGTTATCAGAAATGCACAAAAACTCAACAAATACTTCCTTAATTCAGATGCCAAATTGTTCTGATTTTTCGTAAAAATTTTAATAGGGTTGTTTTTTTCAAAATCCTTTGAACATTTTCCATAAAAGTAGATAGATCATAAGAGTGACAGAAAATTTCCCAACATTTATAGATTAGTGCTTGCAGAGTTATCTCCCTTCCTTACTCTCTGCGTCACTGTCTTCGTCCTCCACCCAAGTGCCAGGAAGGAGGCCACCGGTTACCATGGCATTACACAGTGGTGCTACCAGGTGATTGATGAAGGTCTGTTGAAGCTTGGCAAGCTGTGGCATCTTTCTGTCCATGTAAGGGGATATTGGCATTCCAAGGTTCACCTCCTCATCTCCCTGCATCAAACAAATCAAATCAGAAATAATGTACAATTCAGTAATATTAATATACAAATCAACTATATCACTCATACAAATTCATCATAATACCCGAACAAATCAAATCAGAAATAATGTACAATTCAGTAATATTTATATACAAATCAACTATATCACTCGTACAAATTCATCATAATACCCGAACAAATCAAATCCGAAATAATGTACAATTTAGTAATATTTATATACAAATCAACTATATCACTCATACAAATTCATCATAATACACGAACAAATCAAATCAGAAATAATGTACAATTCAGTAATATTAATATACAAATGAACTATATCACTCGTACAAATTTATCATAATACCCGAACAAATCTAATCGGCCATACTATGGTGCCTTTATTATCATAGAATATTTAGTATTTTACATAACCTGAGTAAATTAGCCATAAAAAAAACCCAGAAATCTTCACCGGTAAGATTGCTTTGTATCCACTCTATCATAAATTGCGTAACAGCCGATTGGATAGGTTTTATGATCTAACTAAACCTCAAATGTGCCCCTACTTGACTACATGTAGTTTTGCGAGTATCAGACATTCCTCGTGTATTTTCAGATTCCATCATAATTACTAGGTAATATTTACTAAGTGTTCTTGTGTCTTACACTGACAAGTATTGATTATAAATAGAATTACCAGGCAGATGTAGTGTAATAGTAAGTGTGATGTCACAATATAATCTCGCCAAAATGTCCATCATTTTGAATATAATTATACCCCATTTTCATACATTAGGCCTCGGCCACTTTATTATTTTGTCCTGAAGACAGTCTGAACATACTGACACAAGTAAAGATTGACAAATTGTTCTTTTCATTATGTTTAATAACAAGTAGTAGATCATCCAAGAACATTACAGCAATTTTCTACATCAGGGGTTGGATCGCCATTTCATTATACTATTACTATTTTTATAATTTCTGGTCAATATTTTGCATCATTTGACACCTGTTAATACAGTATCGTCAAACAAATAAGTCACCTGTTCGTAGAACTCCTCCGCAATACGATATGTCCACTGTCTATGTAGATGTTTGGTTTTAGCCGGTCCATTGATGTCAGCCAGCTTGATGACCATCTGCATGACCAACAGGCGTTCTGTTTCTACTGACCAGTCAATTCCTGTGGACGACTCCTCGTCATTCACCTGAACACAGACAATACACATACAATATATCACAATTGTATAGATTTTCATGGATACTTTTTATATAAAACGAACTGTCTCTATTTCTTTCATTGATTTACTTCGCATCAGAATTATGAAGTATTGAGTTCAAATAGGTGTTATTTTGAAAATAAAGTGTGATCTCTATTTTGGCATGAATGCATGGCATTGTAATTTGACAAGGGGCATTAACAGTATCAACGATACCAGAAACTCACAAATTGTTGTGACAATTTCTTTATATCACAACATATCAACAAACAAGAGGCCCAGAGGGCCTGTATGGCTCACCTGAATATGATTAAAGTAATTGGTATGAAGTAAAGATATAGCACTCCATGGTAGGNGTAATTGATATGAAGTAAAGATATAGCACTCCTTGGTAGGTGCTGTTAGTACATATGAAATTTCAGAAAGATCCATCCAGTACTTGAGATATAGAGAACTAACTTCAAACAGAGCCCCACCCCTATGCCCCTACGGGGGTCATACCCACCAATTATACAAAATTGAGTCACCGTCACCCAAGGATGCTCCACACTAAATAAGGATAAAATCCCTTAATCCCGATGGTCGGAGAAGGATTTTAAAGGTTTTACCTCTATTTCTCCTATTGGGCCCCGCCCTTCTGCCCCCCTCGGAGACCACACCTACTGCTAATACAAAATTGAGTCCCCTTGGCCCAAGGATGCTCCAGACTAAATTAGGATAAAATCCCTTAATCCCTATGGTAGAAGAAGGATTTTAAAGGTTTTACCTCTATTTTCCCTATTGGGCCCCACCTCTCTGCCTACAGCGGGGTCAGACACACCGTTTATACAAAATTGGTTCCCCTTCACCCAAGAATGCTTCAGACCAAATATGGACAAAATCCTGCCATTCCTACCGAAGAAGAAGGATTTTGAAGATTTACGTCTATTTCCCCTATTGGGCCCCACCCCTCAGGTCCCAGGGGGGCCACACCCACCGTTTATACAAAATTGGTTCCCCACTACCCAATGATGCTCCACACCAAATATGGACCAAATCCTTTCATTCCTACAGAAGAAGAAGGATTTTAAAGAATAATTTGCTATGTTTCCCCTATTGGGCCCTACGGCTCAGGCACCTGGGGGGCCAGACCCACGGTGTATACAAAATTAGTTCCCCTTCACCCAAGAATGCTTCAGACCAAATATGGAACAAATCCTTTCATTCCTACAGAAGAAGAAGGATTTTAAAGAATTTGCTATATTTCCCCTATTGGGCCCAGCCCCTCAGCCCCCAGGGGAGCCAGACCCACCATTTATACTAACTTTGTTCCCCTTCCCCCAAGGATGCTTCTGACCAAATATGGAACAAATCCTTCCATTCTTTCAGAAGAAGAAGGATTTTAAAGAATAATTTGATATATTTTCCCTATTAGGCCCCGCCCCTCAAGCCCCTGGGGGGCCAGACCCACCATTTATACAAAATTGGTTCTTCTTCACCCAAGGATGCTCCAAACCAAATTTTGTTAAAATCCGCTCAGTGGTTCATGACTAGTAGTGTAAAGTTGATGGACAACGGACGACGGGACGACAGATGACGGACGCTGCGGTATGGCATAAGCTCACCTTTGTCCTTCGGACCAGGTGAGCTAAAAACACAACGGAAATTCACTAATTCTGTAAAATTTAATCCATGACCAAAGAACTCTCTGACAATGTAAAAGAATCTTTCCATACAACTACTCATTTATATTTTAATACGGTCCCGTTACAATTTGTTAAAAGAGGAGTAAAATTATTATGGTTAATAAGTTTGAAAATTAGAGAAAAAAGAAAAAAAAATGCTTAGATAACACAAACAAGAGGCCCATGGGCCTTAACGGTCACCTGATATATTTATACAGAGAGTTGATTTTGTTTTTAACACGAACAGAAATATTATTCAGTGACAAACAACAATAAAACCACCTTATTCAATATCTAGCATACAGATTTAAGACTAAAAGTATTTGAAACTAGTACCTTTGATTCTAAACAAGGAAAATGAAGAAATTTTAGCACACTGACTCCTTTGGGCCCCACCCTACAGCCCTTGGGGGTAGGGCTGGCTCAAAATTTTCAAAGTATCAAACTGTCAACTCAAGGTTATAATTCCAATCAAGTTATTAACATGTAACATTCAAAGTATCATTTGCCATTATAAACCATAATAAATTTTGCCCCCCCCCCCTTCTTCTTCCCCAGGGAGTAGACGCGAGACCCTAGGGTCATAAATCTTAGGACCCTTCCATCTATGAAGAGTGTTTGATTCTACCATATCTGGGTCTTGAGAAGAAGATTTTAGAAATTTCAGTCAATTCGACCCTTTTTGGCCCCTCCCATCAGCCCCGGGGGGTCAGTCAGGGCTCATATGTGCATACCATCAAACTGCTACCCAATACTGATAATGCTAACCTAAATTGAATTACCTCCGAAGGCAATTAAACAAATGTTGGTCCAAAATGTGATTTCCCAATATAAACTATAGTAAAGTTTACCTCCTCCCCAGGGGGAAATGTGAGACCCCAGGGTCAAGAATTCACACTTTTGGTAAAGCACCTTTAATTAAGACCCTTCCATCTATGAAGAGTATTTGATTCTACCATATCTGGGTCTTGAGAAGAAGATTTTTGAAATTTTAGTCAATTTGACCCTTTTTGGCCCACCCCTCAGGCCCCTGGGGGCGGGGACCAAACCGGCAACTATTTTTGTTGACCTTTGGCCATGGAAGGTTTCTGCAAAATTTCACTGAAATTGGTTCAGGGGTTTTGGAGAAGATGTCGAAAATGTAAATTGTTTACGGACGCACGACAGACGACGGACGACGACGGACAAAAGGCGATCGCAATAGGTCACTTGAGACATTGTCTCAGGTTACCTAAAAATTAAGAGCACATTATTTCAAGAACAGAAATCCAAGTTTTTATTTGATTAAATCAAAACACATATTAAAAGTTTTTATTTGAAGAATAACTAGAAAATGTCTGTAAGACATAAATACCCCCGCTCATGGATGAGAGGGGGAGAGGACTGGAAGGGACGGACATGGGCAACATTATATCCCCCCCCCCCCCCATTTTATGGCGGGGGGCATAAAAATGGTTAAAAGAAAAGAAAAATAATTAAATGTCAAATCACCAAAATAAAATAAGCAGCAAATTAAGAAAAAAATGGTTTGATCATGATGCCGCGCTGGTATTCGTCCAACATCTGTTTATTATAGAGGCAATGTAAATATCGACAAAATTGATTAGGCCATTCACATCTGTTAAGGCAATGCATATATCAAATATGTACTGGGTTATACAAATCTGCTTTGGGCAAAGCAAATGCATGTATCTTTTGAGCTATGCATATATCAATAACACATATGTATCAGGCTATATCCGTTTTAGACAATGCATATATCAACAAAGTATTAAGCTTATTACTCTTTTTTAGGCAATGCAAGTATCAATGATCTTTCCACCCTTGATATACAGGGGTTACGCTCACTTACAGTCTCGGCACCGTTGGAATATGTCATAGTAAAATTGAAGGCATGCAGTTAGCCATTTGATTGGTATTGGGTTTAAAAAAACTCTAACGAATCACTAGGCTGATACCTGTCCTTTGAAGATTACATAGTCTGATAGATTATATATAAATCCTTGATACTCAGGGGTTACCCTCACTTACATTCTCTGCACCCCTGGAATATGTCATATGACAAGATGGAAGGCTCAGTGTGTGCCAATGTGGATAAGAAAAGACTAGTATGATCCTTTGATGTACATCAAAAGAATCCTTTCGCCTTGTAACAGTAAAATTGACTGGCTTTGAAGTCTGGTGTTGCTCCTTAGTAATAGTCAAAGGACTATAAGCTTGGTAGCATATAACCTGAACTCTAGTTTACATCACTGGCATGATGTGTATTTTTTTATATGAAGCCTGGATGGCTATTGTTAATGATGTCAATGACCTCGAATGACCCCGACACATCCTAAAATTGATTATTCATGATGTCACGAACAATAGCATGACCCCGAAAGGTCAATGTAATTCCGCCTCACTTTGAATACTCCTGACGTCACCAATCCACAGCAGAATGACCCAAAATTTGAAGAAAATACAAATATCTTAAAATTGTCGTTTCTTTTGGTGGGTTTCGCTTCTATGAATTAGAACTGGGATAACCCTACTGTATTTTGAAATTTCAGCCGTATATCATGAATATACTGTTGCAAATATGTGTTTAACTGACTCTACTCCTTGAAGCCAGTAAAACTCAATTTGCGACAGTATAATCACGAATCACGATATGAGGCCGCAAATTTCAATATACGAAAGCGTTATCCCCTTAACACAAATCATAAGTATAGAATGTACTGTGTGAGGTAGACTTGTCCAGCAGTCTAACACAACCAACTGGTCTAATGTGAAAAGCTTAGTATTTGAAAGTTGTGACCTTGACCTTGACTTATCACAGTAGTTCCGGCTTAAAATCAACAAAACACTTCTGCCAAATCAAGGCAAAAAACAACACTGGGTCTTGCTGGTCACATGATTGTTTATAATCATATCATTACTTGTTACAATACAATTTTGAATTATATAAATGACAAAGCTAGTTAGAGGTGCCAATGATTTATTATAATATGGAATCATTTCAAGTATCACAGTAATGTTGTATTGTCATCTCAGAATTGAACATTTTATTTACTTGTTTAAATTGGATTTGGTTGGGGGTTTTTTTGTCATTTTTGGGGAAAACATTTTGTTGTTATGGGAAACCATAACAAGTATCCCACAGCAATCAATTTGTTGTTATATGGAACCATTACAAGTATCCCACAGCCAGCGATTTGTTGTTATAGGGAACCATTACAAGTATCCCACAGCCAGCAATTTGTTGTTATATGGAACAATTACAAGTATCCCACAGCCAGCGATTTGTTATTATAGGAAACCATTACAAGTATCCCACAGCCAGCAATTTGTTGTTATAGGGAACCATTACAAGTATCCCACAGCCAGCATTTTGTTGTTATAGGGAACCATTACAAGTATCCCACAGCCAGCGATTTGTTGTTATAGGGAACCATTACAAGTATTCCATAGCCAGCAATTTGTTGTTATGGGAAACCATTACAAGTATCCCACAGCCAGTGTTTTTTTTGTTATAGGGAACCATTACAAGTATCCCACAGCCAGCGATTTGTTATTATAGGAAACCATTACAAGTATCCCACAGCCAGCGATTTGTTGTTATGGGAAACAATTACAAGTATCCCACAGCCAGTGATTTGTTTTTATAGGAAACCATTACAAGTATCCCACAGCCAGCGATTTGTTGTTATAGGAAACCATTACAAGTATCCCATAGCCAGTGATATGTTGTTATAGGAAACCATTACAAGTATCCCACAGCCAGCGATTTGTTGTTATGGGAAACAATTACAAGTATCCCACAGCCAGTGATTTGTTTTTATAGGAAACCATTACAAGTATCCCATAGCCAGCAATTTGTTGTTATGGGGAACCATTACAAGTATCCCACAGCCAGCGATTGTTAGTGATAGAGCAATACACTTACACGTGTCAGACACTGTCCACCGCAACCAGAAATATGCAACTGAAAATAGTGCCTGTATTACTTATTTGGGGAGGGACAAGAAAATGTCAGAAATCTTATTCTTTGTATTTCAAATATTAACTTTGTTTTAGGAAGAAAATAACAGCTTCATAGTTTCTAAAATTTATTACCGAGCCAACTCTTATATTTGAAAAGAAGATATTTAACAGTCAAAACAATTATTTCTAGTTTTGTTTTTAGGTTCTATCTCTAGTGCTAGACTATTTCTGAATCAGAAATCTTTAGCTAGAACGACAACTACTCCACAAGTTTTTCTGAAGCATAAATCTTATTTAAAAATTTACTACAACTGCAGCAGACATATTTGAAAGATGAAGTAAGGAAACACCTATTTAGAAACGTTAGTTTGTTGAAGCATAAAGCCAAACATTCACTACCCATAGTACAACTACAGCTACTTTATGTCTTTCTGAAGTAGCAGTCTTATTGAACATTTACTATGCTATCGTAACACAACAACTACAACATTTAAACTTATAACATATTTACTGGATAAAATATAAAATCTACACAAATTGTTCCTTAAAGCTGACAATGCAAGTTAAAGCTTTTAATTGAGGTTTTAAAAAAAAAAAGTTTTTTTTTTTCTTTTCTTGTTTTAAGATCTTCCCCATCTCTTCCAACTATCGTTTCTGAGGAAGTGCTGACATTTTAGTTTGTCCTTGCTTGGTAACGAGTATGGGTGGCTGGGTATAAAAAGCGCATTACCCGTCATGTTTTAATTAACCGATCAGTTGAATAAAAGAATAAAATTGAAATGAAACACATCAAGGATATCATTTATCTAAGAAAAGTGGCAATAATACCAATTAAAATAGCTAATGCACGATCCCTGCCTAGACTAATAGTTCATAATAAAGTTTTCGTTTGATTTTTGATATCTGTTGCCGATTAGGGTGCGCGCACGGTGCATTGAATTGCAAGACGGACAGTTGTAGAATGATATCTGGTTCGACAGGTAATGCACTTTTATAGCCAGGAGACCCATACTCATTACCAAGCAAAGACAAACTAAAATGTAGCCACTTCCATAGAAACGATAGTCGGAATAGATGGGGATGATCTCAAAACCAGAAAAAAAAATCTTTTTTTTTTTAATCTCAATTGAAAGCTTTTAACTTGCACTGTCAGCTTTAATCAGGACTGACTGACTTTACACCTGTGTGAACAACTGATGATGACGTTTATACTAGCACTGTAAGAAATAATAACAGAGATAAAGTCCATCATCTTTAGCAGGTATTACCAACACAACTTCAGCAGTTAGGTGATCCTGGATTCGGCTATAACAAAAACAAGGACAAAAAAGACCCATTTATCAATCAATGTGGTGGAAGATTTTCTGCATTCCTTAACTTACTTTTGCATTGAATTCGGCAAGGATTTCGAAGTGGCGCTTGAGATCTGTGGCGAGTATGAGCTCTATGACAAGGAAGCGGAATCTTTTGAATTCGGCTTGGTCAAGGCCGGATAAATAGTTGTTGTGTTGCTTGGACAGTAATAACTGCCACGCCGCAGCAGCATGGTAGTTCTCTAATACAGACCGATCATTGTACAGGATGGCCTGAAATGGACAAGAAGATGAAAATAGTCACTCTCTAAATAATGGACAAGAAGAGAAAATGGTCACTCTCTAAATAATGGACAAGAAGAGAAAATGGTCACTCTCTAAATACTGACTGGTCACTGTACATGATGGCCTGTAATGTTCCAAGGTTACTTTACAACTATGAATTGCTTTAAATGCTATTAGTTAAACAGTGTTTATACAGACTGAATAAGGTATTTATCAGATTGTTACTGAAATAAGGTGAAGATCTTTATAGTCATCCTGTATCTTTAAATGGTTGGGGTCCAGAATGACTTAAAATCAAACAGGAAACGTCTAGCATCATTTAATCTAGCCTTAAAGTCAAATTACTTCAAAATGCTTCATTACTTGGTGTTTTAGTAAACTTACTCAAACATGCCACATAAGGCATCTTTCATTTATTCAATTAAATTGACAGTATGCTGTTCATTTCGATCCTACAGCATCAATATCACTTTCTGCTTCAAACAGTGAGAGGTGTCTCCCTTCAAATGCATAATGTATATTCACTGATATTCCGGGTACTCGGGTTTCCTCCCACAATAAAATCCCCCTATGGGCTAACATCCGACAGGAGTGATTAATACAAGTTGAGATAATTTGTAAGTTTATATATATTATTACTGATATTCCTTATTCACATACCTGTTTAGCGTGTGTGGCCACGAGGAAAGCATTCGTGCGACCCGGATGGTTATAATCGTGCATGGCAGCAGCTGTATATAATGCCATTAGTTCCAAGGCAGGGAAGTTTCCTCCCATAATGCCATAGCTGTCCTCAGCCATGAAACTTCCTGCCTTGTGTATCATTTTCTCTACACAGTCCGACTCTGTGAACAACAATTGAAACATGTTAAGATCTTTGTTGTTACCTAAATTAAATTCATTTGTTTACTTATGACCGCCGTTACCAAATTATTATCTGAACTCATACATATTCCAACATTTTTAAGCATAAACAAAATTTGTATATTAATTTTGGACCACTGGACATAACACCTCTTTATCGTCAAAGGGTCCTGATATGATTTTCTTTTTGATTCCTAGGCCAGGAAAATACCTCCATCCCAGCACCCAGCAACAAGATACCAGAGGTTTATATCATTGTAACTCTAAGACCCATTATAGTAAGATTCTATGTTGTTTTTTTATTTTTTTTAACACATTTGACCACTGTGACATTGTCAGTGATACAAGATCATTTATGAAATATATAAACCTGATAACCTTTCACCACATCAAGCTACAGAAATTATATGTCATGACAAAGTCATACTTGCCAACTCTCCCTATTTAGGAGGGAGACTCCAGCTTCTGGACCCTTAAATTTAGCATTTTCGGTCAGTGAATTTGCTAAACTATTCCCATATATTCAGAACAACTCTAAATGTCATTTTAATTCTTATTCATTTTTATCTCTAGGGGGTATACACTTAGTTTAACTTGTTTAACTTAGTTTATTCTGAACACCGGCATATCTGCCTCTATATTCAGATCATAGTCCATATTTATTTAATCATAATAAATAACTATTTTGCTGTGACGTCCCTCCAATGTTGTTGTGAATCTCCTAAGTATACACACATTTTATTTAGGTTTTAATTTTGAGCATGCAGAATCTCCCTCATGGAAATTTCAAAAAATTGGCAAGCATGCAAAGTTTTCAGAAAAAGTTGAGAATGAATGCTGCACCTTCGGATAAGCTCACAAGAACTTTGTGCTAAGTGTTGGGATGTAAATTTTGCTGGACAAGAAAACCAGTGACCTGCTGTACCTACCTGATTCACTAGAGGAGCCGTTTCGTGAAAACATGTCAGTGGTATGTAGTTGTGTGAAGCCCGGGATGGGTTGTGTGGATAGGTAGTACACACCGTGTAGAACATCCGACGCGTGTATACGATTATGATCTACAATGTCACGACATATACAATTATTATACACAATATCACGACATATAAAATTATTATACTATTATCATTATTAAATGATGAACGGACCATCAACACAGGAGAGGTCATTAAGGCCAACAAATGGTCGACAAAACACAATTATACCTGATGTAATACATAATATCACGACATAGACAATTATAATACACAATATCACGACATAGACAATTATTATACACAATATCACGACATAGACAATTATTATACACAATATCTTGAAACATAATTTACTACAATAACGCGACATACATAATATTTGTTTAAACAATGACTTGAAATACATATGTTAATATCTACAAAAAGACACATATATACGAGTACGATTTTCAAAAAAAAAAAGATATTGCAGAAATGTAAGACATCTTTTAATTTTTCATGCTATCATAATCAAAATCAGTAAATCAACAGATTTGTATTTAGAGTACAATAATACTGTATATCTGTTTCATTATGTATAAAATGCTGAACATCATTAATTGATATCCAACAGAATGCCAGATACCTGAAGGTGCTGTCACATTTGACTTCTGTCCCTCACAAAGGACACAATCATTTAACTTACATGGTTTTTCTCTATAGCCAATTTCCAACTCATGGAAGAAGTGTAAGAATGGTGCTACAGGTATTCGGAATGTCTCGAACAAACCCACATCCATGAATAATTTATATATCATCTGTAAATTAAGAGAAATTACTTTAACACTGCATCGTCTTTAAAAATTTGTTAAATATCTGACAATAGAACACTACCATAATTAAGAAATCAACACAAATGTTAAATTTCATATAAACATTCTGTGAGAGTAAATTCCTTGACATCTACAATCTCAATAAGAGGAAAAACAAGACTGATTAACTCATTCACCCCTGAAAACACATCTGAACTCTTCCAATACAAAGGTTGGAAAAGTTCAATGTGAAATTTCAGGGGTGAATGAGTTAATGCTGTAATTTTGAACAGAATGGGCAGAGGTTAGCACTAAGGGAAGCCTTCGGTGATGAAAATAAATAGGCTTGAAAATCTTTGCATGGAGGTCATTATAAAGGCAAAGGTTAAGTTTGGTGAAATAGGAAGATTTTTGAGAGGTTACATGTAAGAATTCAAGGGTTCACAGGGAAGGGATTTTCCATGATTCCCCTGGTTCAGTTACAAAGTATACTAAAGATGAAATATTTTTCAATTTTCTTAGTAATTCACTCATTGACCCCTGAAGACACGTTTGAACCCTTCCAATTCAAAGGTTGGAATAGTTCATTATGAAATTTCAGAGGTGAATGAGTTAAACTTTGAAATTTTTAAGAATCCATTAATGCATGACAAGTACATTTATTTACAATTTTTGACAAGAAAACCCTATCTGTTCATTTCTTAATCAATGATAGACTAAGACTTTTTAAATGTATTTGACTTCAATTATAATTACTCAGTCATTGGCAGGACTGGCCATACTTTTGCAAGCATTATTAAATTTGACACATGTTATCATATCCATCATTTTCTTAGTACATAAACTTGCCAAAATCCGTTTATTGAGTTTCTTTACTGAAATTTTAATAGCACACATGTATGAACTTGTCATTGTACATTTTGTAACACTTTAGTATAGCTACAGAACAACTGACTCTCATTTTTTTTCCAGAGTCCTACATTTAAACAAGAGGCCCAAGGGCCTTAGCGGTCACCTGAGTTATATCATAGATACTGGTAGCTTTATTTTATTGTTTAGATGTGATGTGGAAATCAGCATGTAAACTAAGTGAAATACAATACTTGTCATGTCATCAATGGATAAGAATTTGAAAATATTGGTAAATGTT